TACAAACAATTCTTAGCTCTATTTTAGAACATGTTATTTAAACTTGTTGAAATGAAGTTAGTTTAAAATTTGTCAAAGGAAGCCTTAAGAAGTCTTTTTTTTAAATTGTCTTTTAATTTGGATTTATCATGCATGTCTCTATACATAGTATGCGACGATTAACAGTTTATAAGTAGGTGTTCTCATATATGATTTGATACGGTGCATTTATTATGGATATATTTCAGACTCCATTTATGAAAGAAAATCTATAGAGCAGAGAATTTTGTTTTTTTGTAGCTCTATTTTAGAACAGGTAATTTAAACTTGTTGAAATGAAGTTAGTTTAAAATTTGTCAAAGTAAGCTTTAAGAATTCCTTTCGTTAAATTTGTCTTTTAATTTAGATTTATTATGCATGTCTCTATACATAGTAGAGGTTTCTCAACATCTTACGAACGGACGAAAATCGCCTTAACTTGACGTAACTTGCCGTAACGAGAAAAGAGGGAGCACTCATTTATTGAATGATTTTGGACTATCGGATGTGCACTTCCTTTCATTAAGATATGCATGCAGGGTTCTTTTAAACCATTTTGAGTTGTGGACATATTATTATATTGAATGCGAGTTCTATCTGATGTGTATTTAGTGACTTAGTGTCCTTTTTTGTTGAGATTGGAGGGGCAATGAATATTTTTGAAATTTATCTACTCAGATCAAAGGTAAAAAGTCCTGCGCATAAAAGAGGTAAATTTAATCTAGGAGTGAACGACTCTAGAAAAAAATCGGTTTTTAATTTGAAAAAAAAATCCTTGGGTCCGAGATAACTTTGTTGCCTCAAAGCTATAAAATGCAAATGGTCAGTTCTTCACCTTACATAATTATTATTGAACTATTTTCTACCTATATTGGCAAGAAAATGAATAAAGGGAAATACTGAAATAGATATTTGAGAAAAAAAAGTTCACTTGAAAAGATATTCTGTAATGTATTGTTGATTTTTGTTTTATTTTCAAGGCCTTTCTTATCCTTTTAGTCTATGTTTTTATTATCGTACACTTATTAGTATATTAGTATAATTTAAATTGTTTCAATGTACATTTTAATATCTATATTACAATCAGTTCTGTTGGTGCTGTAGCACTCATACTTTCCATTAGAATACACACAACTATACTTATTATATATTACTTACAATATAACTGACTCCCCCTAAAAACTTTAAAAATACATATAAATAAATCGCGGTTTTAACGACATATATATCAAAGATACATAAAAAATACCGCATTTTCTTGCTGTTAGGAGTGGTTCCCAATATTTATTATTGAATACTATCGAATAAATGTGGAGATAAATGAAGAAATTAAACTGTTTTAAACCACATCATATCTCTTTTTGCGTTTTTATTCAATATGTACATATATTTATCGAAGTTGTTTTACACTTATACATGTATTAATATTAATCAGAATATATGAAAAATGGGTTATGGTTAACGAGTTTTTGTGTTAGACCTTTCTTGCCACCTTTGATTTGTTTATGAAGTGACCGAATTTTATTTCTCTGTGACTTTCAAAATTCAATCTTTATTATTTGTCAACAATTATTAAGGATAGGAAAAGATTAGTCTACTTTGTTTGAACTATAAGAACTAGCTAACGCCATATGCACTGCTGATATATTAGTCTGTGTGGCCTATAAATCCACGCAAAACATCTCTATAATACAGTGATCTGCTGGTCTCACGCAGATATAGAGTTGTGGTTTTTAAAGTCCAGCGCGCTAGGGTGTAAAGTCTAGCGCTGTAGATCTAAAGTCGAGCGCTCGAGATGTTAAAGTCACATGAAACGAATGACTGGTGAAAAATAATGTTTATCCAATTCTTGAACCAATGCATGTATATATCATAAACTTAGTCTTCTGTACACGATTTTATCATTTTTTACGCAAACATATCGTATAATCGTCGATTTTTTTTTCTCTCTGTCTGTTATGATGTGAAAATATGGCAGCTACTTAATTGTCGTGTTTTGAAGCCGTAGTTTACCGATTGTCACCTTATAGTAAACAATCAACAAAGAAGCATGGATATTGAGCACGTGTATAACATGTACAATCAGATAATAGTTCATTTTAATGACAGATCCATGCGTATTGCGATCACCGGAATTTTACGAGGAGGGTCACGCTAAGGTCACTTGCATATGGACAATATGTCGGCGAATTGCTTCGGATCCTGGAAGCAAGCAATTAAAAAAAAGTAAACTTCTTCTAAATGTGGACAATTTCAAAAAATTTCTTCAGAAAAAGTATATGTACACAAGTTTTATAATGAAAACTATCCATTTAGTTATAAAAACATATGCATCATTTTTTTTTTAATTTGAGGTTTCATATGACTTTAAGTCCAGAGTTGGAGATTTAAATGTAAAGGTTGTGTCCTCTCAACCACTTTTCAATCCTTTATCAGATGTTAATATCGTCGTGAAATGCATGGAATACTCGCCACTGAACGTTTTATAAAAAAACATCCAACAATCATTCAGTCAAATGCAAACCAAATGCGCAGATTATTTTTTAACAACGACTATCAAAAACATTGTTCTTTTTAAATGGATAAGGGAGATAAATCGAACGTATATTCGACATGTAAATAAACGAAACTCAACGTAAGGTTACGCAACATTCAACAACACAAAACCAATTGGAACACTAATGTTTAACCACAACAATAAATTACAAGGTTGCAAAATGAATATTAAATTGTTTACTGTTGTCTTTAAACAGGCTGCAATATCGGTAGACAATTTTACTGCATAAAATTACAGCTCCCTAACGATACGTTCGTCGAGTTTCGTCCGTTCGTAAGATGTTGAGAAACCTCTAGTATGCGACGCGTAACAGTTTATAAGTAGGTGTTCTCTCATATGCATTTGATACGGTGCATTTATTATGGATAAATTTCAGATTTCATTTATGAAAGAAAATCTACAGAGCAGAGATTTTTTTAAGTATCAATTTAAAATGTAGATTCAAATATTTTTCACTTCAAACGATAAAGTAAAACTTCTTCAAAACTTATATATGATGTATAGGTCGGCGTCCGCAAAAAAGAAGCCAAGGTAAAGTATTTATCTCTTCTTCACAAATACGTATTCCATTGAATCTCGATATTCATCATGTTTATAATTTTTCTTACAATGACGTTCTACCTCCATAAGCCTGGAAATGTCATGGCGGGTCACAATTTTTATACATAAATAAAGGTACCAAATATTAGTTAATATTATATAAAAGTGGGTACATTGTTTTAGACAAACATAGCACACCACTACCAAAAAAAATCAACTTTAACCTTGGAATTTCCAACTTTAATCTTGGAATTATCAACTTTAATCTTGGAATTATCAACATTAAAGTTGAATTTTCCAAGTTTAATGTTGATAATTCCAAGATTAAAGTTGATAATTCCAAGATTAAAGTTAGAAATTCCAAGATTAAAGTTGATAATTCCATGATTAAAGTTGATAATTCCAAGATTAAAGCTGGAAATTCCAAGATTAAAGTTGATAATTCCAAGATTAAAGTTGATAATTCCAAGATTAAAGTTGATAATTCCAAGATTAAAGTCGACAATTTGAAAAAAATTATTAAAAAAGAATGGCCTTAATACGCTTCCGTAGGTTTTAAAAAAGTAAAATTTATATATTTCCAAAATTATCTATAGATTGATATTTAAAATTCATTGATTCTGTAAGAGAAATTGTAAAGGACATTATTAAAGGAGAATTCTAAAAAGTACTAAAACAAGAGTCAACCAATCGTATATGCTAAAATGCGTTATTAACTCTGTCACTTAAAATAACCAAATAGAGATATGTTTATATTTTAATGGACAGAGAGCTGGTAAGATTTAAAAAATGTGATGTTAAGATTTTTTAAAATGCATTTTTACTGGATTATCTCCCTTTGTACCATAGAAATTCAATATTTATGGCATCATAAATTGTAATTGAACTATGGTCATCGTTACTTTGACTTATTTTGTTAAATGTTATTGTGCTTTTGAAAACAAAAACACTTACATTTCCAAAATTATCTACAGAATACCTTTCTTAAATTCATTGATTTATCGAGAGAAAATGTAAATTTAGGCATTTTTAGAGTAGAATTTTAGAATGTACTACAATGAGATCCCAGCAAGTTTACTAGCTCAAATGCATAATTAAGTATTCCAATTGATAAAAAATAAGGAGTTATCTTTATATTTTTAATGGACCAAAGGCTAGATAATTTTAAAAATACGTACTTTTTATGATTTTCTGAAAAAATTTTACTGGATTATCTCCCTGGGAATAATCCACAAACTGTTTCTCGTAAATTCAAGTACTGATGAGTTAATAAAGCTTCAACACTTTATTATTCAATTAATCATCGTTCTTTATCTCGTTGTTTTCTGCATTCATAAGTTTCAGGGTGTTGAAATTGGTCATTTTCATAGAAAAATACTACCTCCAACATGGGGAAACTGGTTCCCGGTACATTACAGCATCTACTAACTGAAAGGCATGGGAACCAGCTGAAATATTTGTTTTATGGACTTCATTCATAATGTTGTTTAAGCACACAATGTTTAAATATAAATCTGATGACCCCCCTTGTGGACTGGTTTGCATGGTTTTATGGTAGACTGGGTGTTAAGCACTTTAATTTCTAAAAGCCATATGAAACGAGTGTCTGGTTTTTATAATGTTAAGGGAGTTATTGAACCAATACATGCATATATACTAAATTAAGTCATATGTGCACGGAGAACGTGAGAAATAAGAGAACTGTTAGAGCGATGGTAAGTTGGGTTTTATATATTTTCCATGCGTTCCAATTTGTTTATCTAAGTTTATCATAAAATTGTTAATTGATCTGGTGTATTTCAAAGATTTCTTTCGGAATCTGTTAAAACTTTATCCCTTACACGATTATTTACTTTCTCTATCATCGCTTTTTTTATTAGAACTTGCGCAGTGCGATTGCCGGATTGCTAACGAAAGGTGTCATGGTTAAGGTTACTGCAAACGGAAAAGATGTCTGCGGATTAGAGTACGATGTGACAATGATTACAATAGGTGATTATCATAGATGTACTTTTCTAAACATTTTAATGAAGTATAGGATTTAAAAATGATTTGTACACGGGTTGTATAGTAAAACTTCGCCATTCAAGTATATAAAGCATATTCATCTTTTTTGTTAGTATCATACGACTTTCTAATAGTAAAGTTAAAAGACAAGTATGGTCACCTTTGTCACCTGTCAATGGATCAACAACTTTTATTGTACGATCTACTCCCAAATCGATGTTTTCGGACAGCACCTCAACCTTGTGTCAACTAAGCAGGCTAACTTCTTAATGTTTTTTCCTCATGAAATTGCATTCTTTTATCTTTTTGTTATTCATTCGGGGCTTTTGTTTTATCTTTTTATAAACAAGATTGTATCTTAAAGTAAACGTGATCCTAAACGACACAAGTATTTTCTATTTAACTTACTATTTTCGTTAAAGAACTTTGACACAATAACCCAACCTTTGGTATGGATTGAGATCTTCTTCATTTCAAGCTGATTTATGTCTTCATCTTTTTAAATGAAAAAGATAAGTACAATTATATGATAGTATTGCTTGTTTGTTTGTTACTAAATCAACCTTTTATTAAAGCGTGTCCTACGAACTAAAATTAAAGGTAAACTATTCATATTTTGAATATATCTAGGACCCCAATAAACCTTGACTTCGGTTTTCCGTTGTATAGTGTTCAGTATACAGTACGTGGTTCCAAATATAAACAAGGAAGGAAATGTCATCTCTTAAGCGGTATACATAATCCAATGAAATAGAAAAAAGTAAGTATAAACCTACTTAGATTTTTTTCGCAATTTCAAAACAAGAATAATATTTGATGGTTCATGCATCCATGATATATTCGTATGTATGTTTGGGTTTTTTTCCTAATAGTTTTAATTTTCTTTATGAATTCATTATTATCTTAAGTTTTTGTAAGTTCAAACTTTATTTTGCGGTACATTTGCCGGATTGCAAAATCTTACCGATAGAGACATTACGGTTTTATATTACAGCCGTTTCGCTCCTTTGTTTGGGTTAATGCGATTCCCTCAGTTTTTTGTTTTCAATCTAGATTTGCATTTTTAAATTGAAGTACGAGATTTAAATATTGATAAACTACTTTAATTTATAACTGATAAAATTGACCGATTAATTCTATGAATGTTTTTTTCATCAGAAGATTTTTAAATATCTACTCCATATTATGTTGAATTTGATTCCTGGTAGGCAATACTTTTTATGTTGTTGTTTTAATTGAACAAGCGTACAGTAACAGTGAGTTCTTTTAGAATCGTGTCTTTTAATTCTTTGTTGATTGTTTTGTGTGCTTCGTGCAGATTTGATGTATCGTTTGTTCGTGTGTTCCAAGTTTGGGAAAGGTTGACATGTTTGACCCCGACAGGCATTTTCGTGTGCTTGTCCCTAGTCAAGATCCTGTGATTCAGTGGTTGTCGTTGGTTGTTTCCGAATTTTCATTAATTGTTTTCTCATAAATCAGGCCGTTTTGTTTTCAAAGTTTGTCATTCGTGAATTTTTACAGCTTGCTATACGGTGTTTGCTTGGTTATTGTTGGAGGCCGTGCTTTAACCTATAGTTACTATAGTCATCTACATCTACGTCATTTAGTATCTGGTCAGTTAGTTGTCTCATTGGCATCATACTATTACGGAGGCGTATTAGGGCCATCAAATTGTCGACTTTGATCTTTTGAATTTTCAACTGGAATCTTAGAATTATCAACTTTAATCTTGGAATTATCAACTTTAATCTTGATATTTCAACATTAAACTTGGGAATTCCAACTTTAGTCTTGAAATTCCATCATCAAACTTGGAAATTCTAACATTAATTTTTGAGTTATCAACATTGAACTTTCGAGGTATATCTAAAGTCGTGTATACCTTCACACAAAGCCTGATATCAATGAAGGGAGAAGTTACTTTCTATTAATGGGTATACGTGGATTTGCCAACAGTATATTTTTGCGAGATTTTATACAGATACGACACTACTTTTAATGACATTCTATATTGATATGCATTGTTCTTTCATAACTTTATTTTGATTCAGGGTATGTTCTACATATCTTATATAAATATGTCATTGGAAATCTTATATTAATGACCAGTTGTGGTATTTGAATCAATCAAGGACTTTATATCTACATAAATACAAGGTCCCTGGATCTATGCATTTTAAAGTGCATCTTTCAAATTTATTCCCAAATAAGTTAACCTTCCTCAAGACAATAAGTACAATGCAATTAAAACAATTATATATAAAATGAGGGACACGCCATGGCAACGAACAGAAAACCGGTAAGGACATACTTAGATTTCTGGAACAAATTTGACAAAGCAATTTCAAAGATGTTGAAGAATTCTCTCTGCAAACATGTTCACGTCCGCTCTCAATGGTATGCACAAGCATTCTCGGTTGTAGTAAAGAAAACCAGGATGGGTCTAAACAGAACGATTTTGAAAACAGAGAAAACTGTGCACCTTACAATCAGCATGACTTTATCAGATGGCAATACGAATACTAAGAATTCAGGCTTAAAAGGGGCTATAATTCAGTTACTGACCCGCGCTGCCGCGGGTGTGTTCTAGTTGTATATAAGTAAAGGTCATTCTTTATATATATTTACATAAATATAGGTACCAAATATTAGAGAATGTTATATAAATACGGGTACAATAAAGTACATCAAACAGAAGTGCACTGTTCGCAGAAAGGAAAGTCCAGACAAATATTGATAATTCCCAGTTTAATGTTGATAATTTCAAGATCAAAGTTGATTATTTGAAGATTAAAGTTGGAATTTCCAAGTTAAAAGTTGGAATTACACATTTTAATGTTGATAATTCAAAGTTTAAAGTCAAAAATTTGAAAAAAAATATTATGAGATGGCTCTAATACGCTTCCGTATACCATATCTTCTTTTTTTTAAACTTTCTTATCAAAAATGCGTTGTCCAACATTAAAGTGCATTTTTTTATGATGGAAAATGGAAGAAAATATAAATTAATCATTTATAGGGTATTAACAGAACGCAGATTAAAATTTACCATGATCATACATGTTTATATCTTATTATTGTGTATCTAATCTATTATAAGTATTAACGTCGAATAACGTCAAACGTGTTGGCTGCTTTCATTTTACATTGTATGCTTTTGCTCATTTTAACATTAGATATTATAATTGACAACACGGATGTTGACAGATATATTTCAAATCCATGTTCAGATGAGAATAGAGCATAACATGAACAAGTTAATCCTTAGTTATGTATTACAAACATATTATGTTACAAATGTACTGCCACAATGCGTCGACTAGAAATTAAAAAAAAATAAAACTAATACTATGTTCGTGTTGGCCCAAGATGAATATACTGTATACATGGTTGTTATTACATTTCCAACGTCATTGGTGTGTTATTTTTTCTGCAGGTCATGATTTCTCAGAGAAGATGTGTCATCACTTTATGTCTTTTAGTCATCAAGTTTGAATTTGCAAATCTGTCTAGTGCTCCAGTAGAATGTCTTAAGCCGTTTTGCCAATGTCAAAAGAAGGTGAATGGGAAAGCCGTGTGTTCCGGACGATCTTTACATTACATTCCAAGACTTCCGAAATATGTTCGCTCAGTTACATTCACGAATACAAGTATACGATTTATAGACAAATGTGGATTGTTCAATTTAACTTTTCATCAAATAGAGAAAATAAACTTTACTGGTAATGTTTTACGCAGTATTGACAAGGACACGTTTCTAAATTTGACCTTTCTTGATTCGCTTATTGTATCATCTGAACCTCATTTGAATATTACTTCCCTTAAATTGTCTTTTCAGAGTTTTCCAAAGTTAAAGATGTTTGAATTGGGCTTTAATTTTAATTTTTGGAAATCCCTTCCGAGAGATATGTTCAACAATTATCATGTAAGCAATGTTAAGCATTTAAATTTGCAAGGTAATAGCTTTACATATGTTAACTTTACGACATTCAAAACCATCACTAGTTTACGAGAAATATCTCTTGCCAATAACTCAATAAGTCGTGTTTCTTTAACTAGGTTAACTTCATTAATTAAACTAGATATGAGTTCAAATCTGCTTCCAAGAGTTCCAACATTTTGTGGAAGAAATGACACTAGTTATTTTCCTAACTTAGATACTATAATTTTAAGTCGTAACAATATTGGATTTCTTGGACCCAAATCATTCCGTTGTTTACCACGACTTTCAACGATATACTTGGATTATACAAACATTGGCAAACTTCAAGATAATATTTTTTCCTCTTTACCATCGCTTAGAACGTTACATTTGCTAGGCATCGGTAACCCTTTAAGGTCTATTACACAAAATGCATTCAATAGTTCTTCCTTAGAGACCTTGAATTTAAAGGCATCACATTTTCATTTTGATATAAAGCACAGATACGATGCAAACAAAATTTTTGCTTCTTGTCCAAATCTAAAGATCTTGCATCTCACAGAGAACTATATGCCATTTGATGATTCAACCTTCCAAACGATTTTTAGGCCACTGAAAAAACTAAATAAATTATATCTCACATCAACTAAAATACTAAATCTGCCTAGAAATGTGTTCACAAATATGAAGTTGCTTCAGAAATTAAATTTGGATGACAATGGAATAAATGGTTGGAACGACAGTTACCGTATCTTTGGTAATATGACACATCTAAAATATCTGAGTTTAAGGCACAATCATATATCAGTCATCAATGAAACAACCTTTCCGGACGAGCTTTTGTCTAGACTAAAATCTTTAAATCTAGCTCGTAATCCTTTTTCGTGTATTTGTGACCAAATGTGGTTTAAAAACTGGATACAAAAGAATGGTTCAATTTTGATTGAGTATCCAATTGGGTACAAATGTAGACATCCCAATAGTATGAATGGATTATTATTAAACGATTATAAACCTACAGATAAAATGTGCAATCCATGGAATCCTTTATATACCATGGCAATTGTCATGGGAATTGTTGTTCTATTGATCCTGGCTATTGGTTCTATCGCTGCAAAGTGTCAGGGCAATATTAAGAACTATATATATTTACTACGTGTATATCACAACCGGAAACAGGGATATATCCCTCTTGACAGTGAAGAGGATTATGAATATCACGCGTTTGTTGTGTACTGCGATAATGATCGAAAATGGGTTCACAACGATCTCTTAAACAAGCTTGAAAATGAAGAGGGATTACAACTTTGTATTCACCATAGAAATTTCATAGTAGGAGATTCTATTACTGTAAATGTTGACAATTTCCTTAAAAAGTCATGGAAAGTTTTAGTTATCGTATCGAACAATTTCGCACAAAGTGAATGGTGTCAGTGGGAGGTAGATGTTGTACAAGAGAGACGCCGACGGCAAGGGAAAGAAGTCATTGTTCCTATCATACTAGAAACCATTGACTCAAAACACATGACTAGTCAGTTACGTACATTACTAGATAGCACACCCTCCTTAAGGTACCGTTCCGGTGTAGGTACAGAACTATTCTGGAAAGTTTTATTAGAGAGTTTAAGAAAACCACTTGGACATCCGCCGACCTCCTTACTATATTCAAAAATTTAACATCCTAACTTTACTGGTAAAACAAGAGTTTCACCTGAGCCTGAATCGCTTACCTGGTGAAAATGTGCCAGTCTGCAAATGAGGAACTTTGATTGCACATACTAGGTATTGTTTTGTATTCCTCGTTATTATTTCATTTTAAATTAAAACCTAGCTTTTTGAGGGTTTTAGTTATTGAGATAACAGCCAAAAACGGCAAAAGATATCAAGTTAAAATCGATATTTCAGGCACAATTCAAAAGCAGATTTCAAGATTTTCTGAAATTTTAAGAGTGGATAGATCTTTTTATGAAGATGATTTTTGCAATTAACACTTTTAAACTAGTTCCTAAAGTTTTCAAAAAAAAAAAGAACAAGAAATGCAATAACAGTTAAAAAAACAATATGTCAGGGGCAAAAACTCAAAACAGGAGGCAGCTTTAGAGGTAACAGCCAAAACACTGTGAACATTGTTTAAAACTTACATTATGGGGTATTTATTACTCCATATGGAGACTACAGACTTATCTGAATATTTTTCAGGAAGTTAGAATGTACCTTGTTGATACGTTTTGCTATTAAGGTAGATGGGGTGTCTAAATTATAATCCATAGAATTTTTTAATAATTTGCCAAAATGTAGTTTATATCAAGCTTTTTAAAAAAAAATGATAAAAAGAATGGGTCACGGGGCTTATTTTCACGCTACAGGTTGTTGAAAATTAACAGATTTTGTATAGATTATGCATGGAAAACCCAATTTTCTGCCATAAAACGAAAACTACACCATAGAATTTTGAGATAAAATATGAGAAGATAGCTTTAATAGTATGCTTTCAGATAAGAAAAAGAAAAAATGGGGTCATAGGACCCGTTTTCTTGCTACATAATAAAATAGGTAAATTTCTAACACATTCTATTGTAAAAGTACCTTTATCTGAATTATCTGCCCTTACATTTGAGTTGCCTCCCCTTATGTGGCAAAGTTGGAAAAAATTGAATCAAACAAAAGTTTTCTGTTTTTTGTAAAATACAACCATAAATATGATAAAACATGTCATTTTCTATATTGAAATGAAAATTCTTACACATGAATTACCTACTACTCTCAAAATTTGCACATTCTATTAAAGATCTAGACCGATTGTTTTCAGGTATTACAAAATCCAAGATGGAGGAAGACACCCTATCTACCTTAACACTTTTAACCTTGCTCCGAAAGTTTTCGAAAAAAAAAGCCAAGAACTGCCATAAACGTTAAAATTCAACCTTTCAGTGACAATAAATCAAAACAGGAAGCCGATTTTTCTACAATTTACAGAGTAGATAGAGCTTGTTGTACTTATCATTTTCACCTTGTTAGGTTTTGTCTTAATCACTGTTGTTTTCGAGATATTCGATCTAAACAGCAGTTTGTTAAATGTTTAGTCACGGTGGTCATTTTGTTTGAACAACATGAAAATCACAAACTTCATGGTAGACATTCTATAGATGAAACAGACAAATTCCGGTTCAATCCATAGTGCAGTTTAATAAGAGGATAGGATCTTTTAAGAAAAGATTTACGGGCGACTGTAAAGCTCACAAAGGTCCTTAAGGAAATGGTAAATTATATCATGTTTGATTCAGCAAACAATGTCGAAACAATATTTATTTTCAACCTTTATAACATAACTTTGATGTTCAAATAAATCGAAATGTTTAAAGAATTCTGATTAAGCACAATGATCTAATAATGTTGAAATTAGATAATTAATAAAAAAAAGAAAAACAGTTCTCCGATTAAAATGCATCTTGTTGATTTTTGTTTGCGTCCCTGTTCTATGGCAGATGATGCTTATTAAGTCCATATATCAAAATAAAAAAATCTTTGAAAGAATGCAAATAGGAGAACAAACTAATAACCAACAAAAAGTGCAGAACCAAATGGAACACATCTAGAAATGATAAAGAGACAAACAATAGAACAAAAAAAAATAAAGATTGGGTAAAAGGGGAGAATTTGATACACATATATACATTCAATCGTTAGTTAAGGGTAATATTGTACATTGTCACACGAAAAAAATTATATCACTGAATATCAAGTCGAAGGGGTATAACTGCATGAAGACAAAGTCGCAGGGAGTATCACTGTATGAAGACCTAGTTGAGGGGGTATATTTTCTTAATTGGAAATCTACTATAATACACACAATCAAATTCGTTATATTGTATGTCATACTGAGGGCCAATGGTTCAAATGAATTATGCAAAAAATATTGACATAACGAAAAATTATTCGCATTGCTATTTTGAATCTTTCATATCATTTTTCTGGTAAAACATAAGAACCTTGGAGAATCTTTTGTTTATTTTTTTCTTGATTGAAAATATGTTTCAAAAGAGCTTTTGTTTAAAAAAAAAGTATTTACTAAATTTCAAAGGCTTAGTTGGTATTGTTCAAGACCGTGATTACTGACTCTTATCGATGGAAACAAGATAATGAAAATATATAAAAATGATCTGTGTTATAAAACTGTGGATTTAATTACCAGCTCCCTCTAGTATCATCCGATAATAAGTTGATTTTCACACGCAATAGGTTGTTTCATAGATGCTCAAAGAGTTATCGGCTAGCTGAGATTCCTTGTTTAAATCGCTGTTTGGAACTGTTTCCATGCAGCTAATCAGATCCGAATCTCTCTATATAATTGCATACACTAATCAACCATTCCTTTGTTAGAACTTACGGAACTTTGATTTGAATAAAAGGATAATAAATGTCAATGAGACAGCAATTCAACAATACAAAAAGAATTAAAGATATCTAGTGGTCAACATACAGTCGCCAAAAATACACATGTTAAATAATATGTTAAGCTTTAAATTGACAAAATCTAGGGGAGTTGTAAATAATGCACTGTTTTCTGTAGCGACTGACATGTGGTTACTTTACATATCTTCTTGTAGTAGCAAGCACATGTTGATCCTACTTTTCAAATTATGTTGCTGTCTTTTGTTCATTTGCTATAGTTAGTTAGTGTTCATCCTGTTGGTAGCTTTACGATGATTTTACAATTTATAAATACGTAGCAACGTTAGCAGCCGTATAACCAAAACAAAAGGGACCTTAAAAAGTAAGTGTCCTGGAGATTTTAACATGGGTAGCATGACGTATCAGAATATATTTTGCTTGCATTGAGATAAAAAAAAATAATAATAGAGTGTTGAACTTGACATAAAGGATACCGATACATACCTTGCTTTCAACTAAAATAAATAATACGATTAAATATAACACTCCAAAACAAGAGATAACTTTAATTTTCCTATAGTGGTATTAGTATTTGCAATAAAAGTAAACATATCCCAGTTGGTACGATTTTCTATCGATTTCGTTTCTGGCGAGGTTTTTTTCTTTGATAAAAGGTTGTATCTTATAATCAACATACTGAAGTAATCAAAGGCTCTTATTAATGTTAAGTTTATGTCATCTCTTAGTATACATTTAGGACGCCATCATTAGTTTGAACATTTCTGCGGAAATTTATCGTATTCACAGCCATGTCCTCTGTTCCTTATTTATAATATCTCTGACTGCGATTCATCAACGGAATTGTTTGTATTTGTCATTAACGACATAAAGATACCATTAGTATAGCAGCAATTGAAAACCCTTCCAGGGCTCACGAGTTTTAAGTCAATGTGTCTTCGTTTAATATTCTTTTTCAATGTCATTCGATTTTGTTGTCTTTCATTATTATGAACACTATTTGTATTTGCATTTCGAATTCGGCTCTGTTTAGTGTTTGCAAACTCAGTTATGAACTGACTTTTTGTATTTGTTAAATACTGTCTTTTAGGGTTCGTGTTGCTCAGTCTTTAGTTTTCTACGTTGTGTTTAGTGTTCTGTTGTTCTGTTTGTTGGTCTTTTTTCTTTTTTACTTATGGCGTTGTCAGTTTATTTTCGACTTATGAGTTTGAATGTCACTTTGGTATCTTTTGCCTCTCTTTTTAAGACAAGAATTTATTCATCATCTCCTCATAGTATGAATTCTTATCACCATATGTCATCCGTAAAGATATGAAAGGTAACTTTCGGAGTAACTGAGTTTACTTTGGAATGTTGGTTTTGTGATGCTCAATCTATCGTTTTGTGTCTTTTCGACACTTTTCTCATGCTTATTGTATCTGTCCTTGAAAAACATATAATTATATGCTTGTAATTTAAGTAGAAAAGGAAACTAAGTCCGGGTTTATCAAGTACTTTTCGATTGTGATAATTTGTTGATTTTTTCACATATTGAATCTAGTGTTCCTTTTTCCAGTTTTTGAGTATCCCTGATCTCTAATTTAATTTAAAATATATCTTATAAGGTTAATAAAATATTGTATAAAGTTATAAGACATCTTATAAACTTCAAAATAGATAAGATATCTCATAAAAATAAGGTTAATAAGATATCGTATATTCGTTAAAAGATATTTATAACCTGAATAAATATAAATACGGCTGGCCATATAACTATAGGTATTATTTCTTAAAAACAATACAATAATATATGGATTAAACTTGAAGGATGACAGGAATAAACAACATTGGACAGCAAAACCGGCCACCAATCACCAACACCCAACTCCGAAGAAAAACAGACATTTAAACAAAAAAGGAAATCAACAAACAACACAAAGTCCAGATAAGTATAATTGGTACACGGACAAAATTTGTTATGTGTAAACCAGTTTTGCAAAATTAGAGTGCTGTATGTCATAACTATTGTTTGAACACAAAACAATCAGAAACTGGCCAAAATTGTATCTCACATTATCGCACATATAGTTGTTCAAGCAGTTTAGTTTCGTAAAGTCATATATGAAACGAGAGTCTGTATAAAGTATATTATTTTCTGTTGTTGTTAAACTTGAAGGATCATATGATTTTTTTATAGTA